CCGAGTCCCCGGCCGGGGTCCGCACCGCCGCCACCGACGCGCCCGAGCGCGTGCCCGAGGCCGTGTGCAGCCAGAAGCGCGGCGTGAAGGTGCTGAAGCAGGAGCTGGGCGGGCTGGGCATCAGCATCAAGGGGGGCAAGGAGAACAAGATGCCCATCCTCATCAGCAAGATCTTCAAGGGGCTGGCGGCCGACCAGACCCAGGCGCTGTACGTGGGCGACGCCATCCTGTCGGTGAACGGCGCCGACCTGCGGGACGCCACGCACGACGAGGCGGTGCAGGCGCTGAAGCGCGCGGGCAAGGAGGTGCTGCTGGAAGGTGAGGTGCGCGCGCTCGTGCACGCACACGCAGCCCGCGCCCTCACACCCTCGGGGCCGGGACGGGCGTGCGGGAAGGCGGTGGAGTTTGGCAACTCGTGCCCACCCAGGGTGTCGCCTGTCCCACGGCCCGGGCGTCCCCGGCCCCGCCCCGTGTGTGAGGCGCGTCTGAGCTCGGCGCTCCCGCGCTGTGTTCGTCTCCACCCGCGGATAATCCGAGCGCGGTGGAGGGGCGCCGGTGGCCCGGGAAATGGAGCGTAGGCGAGGAGACAGACCGCCCGCGGGCCGGGGACTCCTTGCCACGCTCACAGCTCTGCTTTGGCCCGACTGGCCGGCCCGCTGGGGCGCGACCCTGGGCGGAGCGGGCGGCCGGAGAGGCGGCAGGGTGGGAGCGCTCAAGTCCGCCCGCGTCTCCAGGCGCGCGTGCAAGCCGGCCGTGCGGGGAGCCGGGCCAAGCGCCCAGCGGGGCTGCAGCTTAGGCGCGAGTCACCTCCCCGCAGTGCCAGGCCGGTCGGTCCGGATTCCAGCTCCCTGTGGGTGGAAGGCAGGGAAGTGGGCTTCTCTCGCCTGCTTTTCCCCACGAGCCATTTCAGAGCCGCGTGGAATCAACTCTGGCTCTGAAACATGCAGGGAGGAAACTCAGACACGACCTCCTGAGGTCTGCTGTCCCTGGTCCCCTCGTTACTGACTGGTAATGAAAACCACCAGTTTGTACCTAAGCTGAGACGTGAGGGGACAAAGGGCGGCCGCAGGGTAGTAACCGGTTAAGCCTTTTTCTTTCCTGTGGGACTATTTCTCACTTGATCCCTGCTGCTCTCAGCGTCATGTTTCCCAGTCTCCGTGTCTGTAGACGGGGCTGACTGGGGTCCTGCATTCAGTCAACAACCGCTCTCGTGTAGGTGCCCAACGCAAGCGCAGAGTGCGTGCACGGAGGAGCTAGCTCTGGAGACGCCCTTCCAGGGGGACCTTGCCGTAGGGCACTGATGACGCCCCGGACTAAGGGCCGAGAACAGTTTCCTGCTCACCTAATTGTGGAGCTGGCACGAGACCCCGAGAAAGCTGACAGTTAGTTGGGAAGCCAACTTTGCCAGTTGTGTGACAGCTTGCGAAGCTCCCTGATGTGTGACGGCCCAGCCCCTGGCCTCTGACACAAAGGGTGTTTTGTTGTTGTCGCTCCTCGCTTGTCTGGAGGGTTTGTGGTGGCTTCCAATGGAATTGCCGCCCTGGGTCCAGCAGGTGGGAGGCTGCTGGCCCAGGCTTGATGATTAACATAAGGAAACTGACAACGGTTTTCCTGAGCTCGCTGTGTGTGTTGGCTTAGGTGACAAAAGGCAGGCGGGCCGGGTGAGTGTGGCGTGGACTCTAAACTGCTGGGCACCTGATCTGCCGGCAGTGGTTCCGGAGACACCAGGTGTGGGGACAGAAGGCAAGTCAGGCTTATTGAAGGCCTTGTCCTTTGTCCCGTCCCCGCTTTCCTGCTCCTGGGTTTCAGTTTGGTGAAATAATGACTTGCCAATGAGGTAAAAAAAAAAATACCTCTCCTCAAAAGAGGAAGAAAAGGGACCACCAGTAGTGAAAGTAAACTTAGAATTAGAAAAAAAAAAAAGCTGTCACATGACTTTCCTGAGTCGGGAACTGGAAAGTGAATTCTGTAAAAGCCTCCTCCTGACATTCCTAGGACAGGGCCCCTAAGTGACATTCACTATGGCTCCGTGGGGTGGTCTTATCCCCAGCCCGAGTTTTCAGAAACTGGCTGCTAATGTAAGACAGAAGTGCAGGCACTGCTCAAAACGCAGTGTCTCTTGCCAGGCGAGGCGGCGCACACCTGTAATCTTAGCACTCGGGAGGCTGAGGCAGGAGGATCAAGGTGAGGGCAAGGGCAGCCTGGGTTACATGGTGAGATTGTCTCAAAAAAAAAAAAAAAAAAAAAATCCCAAAATAAAACAAACAAACCCAGGCCCAGTGTCTTTTATTCTGTGCCGGAGTGTGTTGGCCCTTGGTGGCCCTCCATGGTAGCCTTCTTAAGCCATCAAGTCCAGAGTCGCGCCGTCACAGTTCTCTCTGTGGAAACCCAGCCCCCTCGGAGATTCCCGGATGAAGGGACTGCTTTGATTTTGAGGCAGGGTCTTGCTGTGTAGTCCAGGCTGGCCTTGAGCTCTCTATGTAAAGTCGGCTGGCCACACCTGTCTTCTTCAAAGGGGCTTCTTTGGAGCCACCTCCCAGGCTTTCTGAGCCCAGAGCTGCTTCCCTCAGAAACGCAGTGTTGGTTCTAGAATTTTCTCAAAAGAGAGGCTTTGGGAATGTAACCTGGTTGGGCTGGAGCTAGAAAGACGTGTTAAAGGTGTGTTTTGATGGAGAACGCACAGTTATTACTTAGATTGCTTTTTGTGTTTGTTGTTTGGGGGTAGGCATGGTTAGTGGAATTCCCCAACCACCACCCTTATGCACCCCATTTCTGGGCGTGCGCCGCCTAGTGGAGAGTTGCTGCCTCTGCAAGGTGAAACCCGAACAGCAAGTTTGGATGGCACATTCTAGCGCTAAATTCCCGGACTCCCGCCTCTGCGTCCTCATCTGCAAAACAGGAGTACGGAGACTGCCCGACCTGCTTGCTTTACAGTGCGGCCGTACCGAAGGGCACCCTGGGGGAGGGATTCATCCAATAAATGCCTGCTGTAGTTTTACAATTTAATGAAAGAAAAACGAACTTGCCTCTTCCAAGGGGGCTGTCCTTTCTTCTTCCTTTACTGGAGTAATAAGTTTCTTAGTTGGATTTTTTGATATTCAGTCTGTCATGCTGCCGGGCGTGGTGACACATGCCTGTAATCCTAGCACTTGGAAGCTGAGGCAGGAGGATGGCTGGGAGTTCAAGGCCAGCCTGGGTTACATAGTAAAACCCTGTCCCCTTATCCCCCCGCCCCCCAAAACCCTGTAAAACTGGGAGAGACCATTCCTCTGGGAGTCATCGACGTAAAACAGAATCTGAGAAGAGAATCAAGCCTACACCTACCATTTCATGAGCACTTAAAATACATGCCAGGCTTTCCTGGGACTTATGCCTGTTGCGCCTAGAGGAATCCCAGGGGGAAACAAGTTCAGACACAAGGTCACTGGTTAGAGTAATAGTGACACAGCCAGGAGGCTCTCAGATGGAGCTGACCTTTAGCCTCTTAGCAACACTGCGCA